TGGATAAAAAAGCTGTGGTACCGTGTGGCGGATAAAAATCACGAGGCTCCCGAAGCTGGGAAGGTCCTTCCTGAGGACTGAAAGGTCCCCGTCCCACACCAGGTGCCCCGCTCAGGGTTCCAGAGCCAGGAAGAGAATCCCCATAACTTCTGGCTGGAAAACCAGCGGGAACTGAGGCTCAGGGAGGCTGAAGCAGCTGGAGCCCCAGGCAGCTCCTTAAAGGGCCCGCGCACTGACTTATCGGACTCTCTCCCTCTAAGCTTGGAGGGGAGGCAGCTCCCGGGGCGCCAGAGACATACAGGGAAGAACTGAGCTGTTTGGCACTGGAGCGAGGGCTGGAGAGGGGGCTTTCTCCGGGACAAACGTGCTGTAAGAGGCCTTTGTTCCTTTGGTGAGCCCTTCCCTGGGGCCGCAGACAGCCACCATATCTGGGACTCCAGCAACCTGGCTCATACTGGTAGCCCCGCCCTGGTGACTCCCTGAGGCCCCGCCCCGCCCCACCCAACTTTCAAGTCCACCCAAGCTGTTGCCCCTTCCTTAACCATAGCATTGGCCTGTCTGGGAACCTGCTTCAGGTTTTCCTAAATTCTTTCAAACGAGCAGCATCTGGTCTCAGCGAGCCCCATACCTCTCATTAAGTAATACAGTACACAGAAACAAACACAGGGAGGCAGCCAAAATGAGGAGACAAAGAAACAGGTCCCAAATGAAAGAACTGAACAAAACCCCAGTAAAAGAATTAAGCGAAATGGAGATAAGCAACCTAACAGATACTGAGTTCAAAATACTGCTTATAAGGATGCTCAATGAACTTAGTGAGAACCTCAGTGAACTTAGGGAGGGCCTCAAGAGCATAAAAAAGGACCAGTTAGAAATCATGGATACATAGTTAGAATTGAAGGAGGCATTAACTGAAATAAAGAATAATTTACACAGCTTCAATAATAGAGTACGTAAATCCAAGGAGCAAACCATCGATTTGGAATATAAGGAAGCAAAAAATGCCCAATCAGAACAGCAAAAAGAAAAAAGAATCCAAAAAAATGAGGATAGTGTAAGGAGCCTCTGGGACAACTTCAAGCGTGCCAACATTCCCATCTTGGGGGTGCCAGAAGGAGAAGAGAGAGAACAATAAATCGAAAACCTGTTTGAAATAATAATGGCAGTAAACTTCCCTAACTTGGTGAAGGAAACAGATATACAAGTCCAAGAAGCACAGAGAGTCCCAAACAAGATGAACCCCAAGAGGCCCACACCAAGACACATCATCATCAAAATGCAAAAGATTCAAGACAAAGAGAGAATCTTAAAAGCAGCAAGAGAAAGGCAGCTAGTTACCTACAAGGGAGTTCCCATTAGGCTGTCAGCTGATTTCTCAAAAGAAACTTTGCAGGCCAGAAGGGAGTGGCAAGAAATATTCAGAGTGATGAAAACCAAGAACCTACAACCAAGATTACTCTATCCTGCAAAGCTGTCATTTAGAATCAATGGACATATAAAAACTTTCCCAGACAAGAAAAAGTTAAAGGAGTTCATCACTACCAAACCGTTATTACATGACATGATGAAGGGTCTTTTTGAAGAAAAAGATAAAATGTATGAACAAACAAAATCACAATGAATACATATCTATCAACAATGGAATCTACAAACAAAATGAACAGGTAGAACAGAAACATTCTCATAGATACAGAGAACATTTTGTTGGTTGCCAGTTGGGAGGGGGGTTGGGGGAATGGGTGAAAAAGGTGAAGGGATTAAGAAGCACAAATTCATTGCTAGACTGACAAACCTCAAAGGGAAAGGGGTTGGTGGGGTGGGAAGAAATAAACCAAAGAACTTATATGCATAACCAATGGACACAGACAATAGTGTGGGAAAAGGTGGGAGGGGGGCGGGAGTGGGGAGGAGGGGATCAATGGGGGAAAAATGTGGAACATCTGTAATACATTTTACATCCAAGAATAAAGATTTGGAAAAAAAAAAAAAATCTGTGGTACATAAACACAATGAAGTACTATGCAGCTGTAAGAAAGAAAGATCTCATCCTTTGAGACGACATGGAGGGGCCGGGAAAGCATTATCCTAAGCAAAACAAGCCAAACAGAAAACGACAGTATCGTATGATCTCACTTATTTGTGCAATATAATGAACATAACAGTCTGAGGAATGAGGTAGTCCCAGAGATGTGGAAGTGGGGTACAGACTGATAATCCCCAGAAAAGGGGTGGTGGGGGAGAGCTAAACCACAGAACTTATATGCATGTATGCATGAACAATGGACATGGACAACAAAGCTGGGGACAAGGTGGGGACGGAGGGGGAGGGTGGAATCAGTGGGGGAAAAAGGAAAAACTAATGTAACAAAAATAAATTAATTAATTAAAAAAAAGAAAAAGAAAGCTGAGCAGAGGTCAACTACTACAAACCAGGCTGTGTTAGCAGGAATTGAGGTGAGAAGTGTAGCCAGATTCAGGACTGCAGGATGCCAAGGTATTACAAGAGTTTGTGGCTCTTAGGTCCTATACAAATCAAGAAATTTGATTCCTAGCTGAATCAAGTTTGCCTTCTTTCTTTACTGAGAAGATTGAACTGTTACAGGGCAAGGATGTAAAAATCAATATTCCCTGTTTTAAGAGGGAGTCTATTATTGTGTTAATACTGTGTTTAGTATATATAATCATTTGTTTGTACAGATGGTTCGACTCCGAGTTAACACCCTGGAGGAAGGGTGATTTCCAGGTACAGTGAGGAAACCTTTCACATGGGAAATTTATTTCCAGCATTCAAGGTGCCAAGGGCCGGTCAAGGTGTCCTTTTGGCACCTTGTCAAGTAAATTTAATTCCAAGTAATCACTATGCCACTGTGGGGTATTTGGGACAGCCTGCCTTAGGTCCCAACACACTTCAGTTAGTTAGTTAGTTAGTTAGTTAGTTAGTTACTTAGTTAATCCTCACCAGAGTATATTTTTCCATTGATTTTTAGATGGAGTGGAAGGAAGAGAGAGAGAAACATGGATGTTTACCTCCCGCACGACCCCAACCAGGGCCAGGGATTGAACCTGCAACCCAGGTGTGTGCCTTTGACTGGGAATTGAACCCCAGACCCTCAGGTCCTCAGGCTGACACTCTAACTGCTGAGCCAAACAGCTAGGGCAGGTCCTGACACATTTTACAGAGCTTTGTTTCCATGATAAAAGGGAATATATTCTCATTTTATCTTAAAACTTCTCTTTTTTTGCTTAAATATGGGAAAACTTAATTGTTGGATACCTGAAAGTATTTGCTAATTTCCTATTAATTCTAAGATGAGATTCCTGAGCTTTTTACTTGGACAATCATATCATATATAATAATGAGACCAGTCTTCTCTAATAGTTACAACCCATTCTAGTGTGGGTCTTACTGTATCAAAAAATATTAAATCAATATTCTGATGACAAGCCTGAAAACTTGAAGATAGCGCATGTTTAAAAGTCTTTGATAAGCAGACTTATAAAGGATATGTAAAGCTCTCAAGCTCTGAGAAAGATCCGAGATCAATTTTGCTACTTTCTAGTCTGTTTCATCTAAAAGGGAGGTAAAGAAGGGTTTTAGCATGTGAGGTGAGAGGGCTTTGGAGAAGGTACTTGGTATTGGTGGGGAGGGGCTTCCCTCTTCCCTGGGCTGTGCCCTCCACTAGTAAACCGCAGCAAGCAGCAGATCCCATTAGTATCTGTGGCCACTGAGTAGAAAACCTGACTGGACAACTGCTCTCCTCCCAGCAGACAAACTATAGCTAGTTATGCCCTAGAATGTGGTACTGGCTATTCAAATGCTTTCGTCAAAAGCCCTTGTCTAAATCTTTTTGCATAATCTGTAATGTATTTTCTGCCCTTGCCACACCCTCTTCCTATCAGACGTTTCTGCCTGGAGAATTAATCTTGTATTTTTTAAATTAATTTATTTTTGTTGCAGATGTTTCTCCCCCCCCCCCCCATTGTAATCTTGTATTTATTTATTTTTTTTTAATCCTCACCCGAGGACATTTTTTCATTTTCTGTTCAGGTAGAGTGGGAGGGAGAGAGAGGAACAGAGAGAGAGAAACATCGATGTGAAGGGACACATCGAGTGGTTGCCACCCACACAACCGACCAGGGCTGGGCACAAACTGCAACCGAGGTACGTGCCCTTAGCGGGAACCGAACCCGGGTCTCTCAGGACCGCAGGCCGATGCTCTAACCGCTGAGCCAAACCGGCCAGGGCTAATCTTGTATTTTTAATCAGTACTCACACACAACACTACATCAACCACTAAATTTAATATTGGAGTGCTGGTAGCTGGCGGAAAAAAGAATAATTTGTGAAGAGAAGGCATTGGTTTTGGAATGGCTGATTTTAATGGCGGTATATGACAAATTCCAAATGCTTTCAGTCATGCCCATATTCAAAAATGTAAAACTTAACAGTAACCACGATTACCTTGAAACAGTGCTGCATTTATTTTATATTTAATATAATGAGAAATGATTTTTCTTTCTAAGCAACTAGAAAAGACCAGTTCAACTGATCCTACAAATGAAATACACTAAAAACATAGCTTTTTCCTTCCCAAATAACTGCAAAAGAAAATCAATTTATGTTATTTCATTTAAGTAAATTATGCTTGATGAATGATACAAGTATACTTTGAGAGACCAATACCATTGCACATTCACTGTTTACCATTGTCTGGGCAGAGCCTATGTAATTGTTTGTAAAAGAAAGAAAGATTTTTGTTAACTTGTCCTTAATAAGTAATATTGAAACTTTTTGCTGTTATTTTATTAACTCGAATAATCCTTTCATCAAAAAAAGTGCAGTTTATGTATGTTTAAGGATTCATCTGTGAATGAGTTATAATTTTCTACAAAAGATCTTAAATGACAGTAAAAAGAAATTAGTGTTTAATAACTGACATATGAAACAATCTAAATAATTTATTTATCTTTCCCAAAGTACCTGTAATTTTTACCTCCTGAATGTAAGTCTGGGCTTCCTTTTGAAACCAACTTTTTGAGTCTTCAAATTGCTTGCCCTGGTCATATACATTTCATTTGCTTTAGGTTAAGCCGAAGGTATTAAAGTAAGAGTCCCGATAAACAAATTCTGCACAATCTCTTTAACAGTCTTTAGCAACAGAAGAATGTTCAGATACATCTCAACAAGTACGATTCAAGAAAGATGAGGTTCCACAGCTGCAGTTTTAGCGTTGGGTTTGGAGAAACAGACTCTAAAATCCTATTTTTATACCTGGGGTGGAGAAAATCCCTCAAAACGTGCCAATTTAAATGTAAATCAGATACAATCATTCTACACTAAGAGTGTTGAAATGAGTGATACCTTTGGATATTTGTACATTTAAAACTTTAAAAATTTTTAATTTTGCTAAATTCAAACTATCTATACAATTTAAAGCAAAGGGGACACTATATTAACAACCAGTGGCTCCAGGTGAGGGTTATATGGTATTCCCTGTACTACTGCTTTTTTCTTTTTAATCCTCACATGAGGAAATGTTTACTGACTTGAGAGAGAGAGGAAGGGGGAGAGAGAAACATTGATCAGTTGCCTCCTGTACATGCCCCAGCCAGGGATCGAGCCCACAACCTAGGTTTGTGCCCCAACCAGGAACTGAACCCACAACCTTTTTGGTGCCCTGTACGGTTGCTTTTAACTTTCCTATTAATATGAAAAAATTTTAAGTAAAAAAAAAAAAATCATAAAACAAGACATCATGAATGAAGTAAAAATACAAGACACAGACGCAAAGTATGTGTAACCGAATATTACTGGTTTTAGAGTTTTGTTTTGTTTTAAAGCCCTGTCTTATAGGTAAAACCTTTCTGCTGAAAGGGAATGAGAGAAACATTTGACGTGCAATCAAAGAACAAACTAGGTTAGAAAGGAACAGAGATGGAACCCTATGCAAATAATGCCCTCACTGATGTCATCACTTGAGTATTCAAAGCTGTCATATCAAATCATGCAAAACACAGCAATCCACTGACTTGCACGTTTACACATGATCAAGGTTTAAAAAACGTGAAACTTTCCTTTGAGAGGGTCAGCACAACACCATGAAATGAAAATGTTTTCTAACTTTGAGAAATACAAATGTTTTGTCAGTTGAAGGCCCGAAGACTGTCTGATATTACGAATTTCTTATGTCCTATTTAAGTTGGCTATGCTTTATAAAGTACATGGTTTTGATTCTTGTTTAAAGTCTCAGCTAAATGATAAAGCTTCACAGTGCCTGTTAGATCTTTGGCTGAACAGTATCAGCTCAGCAAAACAAAAGCAAGTTTGGTGTTTGTTTGTTTGTTTTTAATCATTTACTTTGAGACGAGTATAACAACCTCAAATTATCTGTCTTTTGATGATAAAGTGGAGTAAAAACCATGTACTGTGAATAATACCAATGCTGAAATAATCTGCCCCAAAACTATTGGTCCCTTTCAGATCTCCAGGCCTTCAAGCACACCATGTAGAACAACGGAACACCTCTTCCTTCCTCATAGGTTCTGAGAGAGAAACTTACAACCCAAGGGCTAAGCAACCAATGGGCAGGTAACATGAAGAAGCAAGGACAACGGGAGCCAGTTTCTTTCAAATGGAGACACAGGTGGACAGTAGGACACAAGACTCTGGGAGGCTGAACAAAAGAGAGCAACAGCATTCATTTCTAGGCATCGTGCCCACTTCTCGTTCTTAACACTCATCATGGGTCTCAGAAATTTTCTAAATATGACTCCTTCTCCTCCCCAATCCATACCTACTTCACCCTTTCTGTCTTAATTCTCTACATGAATTACTGTCAATTGAATCATATGATAGAACTGAGGCAGTACTATGAGGTAATAAAACAAGTTTTTATATAGCTTGATAGCAGGGTCTGGGGAGATGGCGTAGAGGAGTAGAAAGATACATATTTGTAAAATTGAGTGTTACTCTGTAGAAACTATAGTAATAAACAAAGATACCTTAACTTTTTTCATAACCTAAGATATCTTTTCTAATAACCTAAGATGATTCATGGAATCAACAAAACTAGAATTTGCCTTTTGTTTTGTTCTGTAAAACATATATACATTGGTAAGAGCAAAAATGACTCAGAAATATTTTCATTCAGTCAAGCCCGTTTTTTCAAGTTCCCTGAGATGACATACAGATACAATACACAGCACAATGTTACAGCAGAGAGTAAATTATATTCATAAGAATCACTGTCAATTTTCTAATTCAACAAATATAATCTATAATATAAATTATATCCTTATGATTGGTGTTGCTATAAATGTATTCGAATCAGGAAAACTGTCATATTTAACGCTCTCAAAGTAATTTTGGCACAGGTTAAATCTTATCATTTTGTTAAGTCCCTGAGCTGGTTTTTGCATTTAGCCTCCTGGGCCACCCCTCCCCACAAAGCCTGGCAAACCTGCCCTGGCCTCACATTAACTCTAAGTCAACTTTTAATGCCATAAACTTTCAAACTGTGCTCTTCAGAGACCATGTAGCTTCTCTGACATGAAGAGCTAAGAGTCCCCGTTCCAAAGAGCACCCCCTACAGTGTTTCTGATGTTAATTAACAGAGCAGACGAATCACATAGGATACATCTCCTGTAGCCTTCTTATTTCCAAAATGGCCTACAATAAATGGTCAGTGTTTTAAGGTCTCCAGGGCTTTATGCCTCAGATGTTCATCCAAACACTGGATGGCAAAGAAATCAATGTCCATGTCAAACTTATTGGCAAACAAGTGATGCGTGCGCAGTATCCAGTTCAAATCGCCGGCTCCAAAAACACACACAGCGCGCACGTGGACACCATTGCAGGGTGGATAGGGAGCGCCCTTGGTAACATCACCTTCAAAGTACTGCCACTTGACAAACCTAGCAATTGCATGCATGTCGGACATGTCATACTTATGGCTTAAGGACAGTGAGCCAGGGACGTCAGGGATCCTCTGAATAGTGGCCCAGAGATACTCATCCGGGCTGTATGTGTCTTTTGCCCACTCCATAAACTTTTGGATTTTTTCATTCTTTAGCACGTACTCCACATACTTCCTGCTGACCACAAAATAGGCACTGCCTGAAAACAGAGGTGTTTCGAGAGGAGGTTGCACTTTGTCAGTCCCCGTATTGGTCAGCTTTCCATCAACGACTGCATAATGCTTTTTCCACCTCTCTTTTTTATGCGATGGCATTCTCTCAGTTTCTAGGTTGTTTTCTCCCATTAACAACTTGAGTTTCCTGACAATTTCCAGGTTGGTTTTAATAGGAAAATCCATACCACAAAGATTTATCAAATACTTCCAGTCTGCACTCATTCTGTAGAGGTCCTGCATACAGTTGAGGTCGGCCTGAACCCGACTCCACGATGCATACACCACAGTCTCCAACTGACTGGCCACAAAGACATTATCAAAACAGGATGCGATGCCAGTCACTGCAGCCAGAAAGGAATCCTCTGATTTTTTGTCCACATGAATGCAATAGAAGTTCTGAGGCATATAGATGGCCCTCAGGAGCCTATCAAGCATTTCAATTTTGTGATGAACCACTATGGAATATGCTATTGGAAACTCTGCCTCTTCCTTACTAAGAGGTTCTACAATATATTTGCGTCTCTTGATGAAAGAAGTACAATCACTAGTCATGTTTATATAGTCATAGGTTGTCCACCGAGGACGCTTTCCAAATTGCACTGTCAGAATCTCAAGCTTTACCTTTTCAATTTCATGTGCATCACCCTGTACAACTTTGGTGCAATTAATATTATTATTAGGATTTTCTCCAACCAGATCCAAATGTCCAATGCTTACAAATTCAGGCTTTTGATAAATTCTTAATACAGAAAAGGTGACTAGGGAAAATACAAAAAAAAAGAAGTAATATTTAGCGGGATAAGAAAAAAGTCTCCTCCTCAGCAACTTCCTCAGCATTTCAAACAGTAATTGGGGATTTTCCTTTCTTAAGGGCAGTCTTCCAGGTTTCCAGCAGTAGTGATTTTATCTCTGCCGTGGCCTTGTGAGTTTTCAGTTTGCATTTATCAGAACTGCGAAGGCATCTTTAAATGGAGAATAGCACTAAAAGAAAAACAGGAAGGATACCTATAAATACAGTTTTCCATGACATTTTCTCAGACTCAAAACTGTCCTCTTTGCTAGGAGATCAGGTTTTTAAAACAAAAACAAAGTGGACTACATCAAACGAAAAAGGTTCTGCACAGCAGAAGAAACCAGCATCAAAACAAAAACAAAGTGAGTCAATCAGAAGAAAAGGGGTAGTGTTACAGAAACCCACAGTCTCCAGGATTAATGCCAAATTGTTTTTAAAAAATAATGTGTACAAGGATGTGCTAGAATATCCTACAATGAACATTTTACCTCTCAGGTATTTTGAAGTGTAAAACACAGTTGAAGACCTAGGCTATGCTTACTGAATTCTCCATAGTTGTTGGGTTTTTGATGCTGTGTCAGTTCTAATTAGTACCCCTTACCTTGAAATCATTACTAGTCGGGGTTCTTCCTGACAGATCCATTAATGCCCATCAGTTGACATCAATAGCCCCAAATATTTCAAGAGATCAGACTCATTCAGCTCTTTACCAATTTAGGATCGGAAGTACACTTAAGGGAGATGTTTAGATTTGGGACTATTTGGGTTGACCTCCCTTTAGTTCAGTTTCAGGTATCACAGGATGAAAAGACATGCAATCCAAAATAGAGACACAGTCTTGCATTTCTTGCATTGGTTATAACAGGTTATAATAATTAAGACTTGCAAAACAATAGTTGCATACAAATTATAATTAGTGACAGAATTTATGTCTCTATTCAAATTCCAAGAACCCAACTCACTTTTTTTTTTTTATTGATTTGAGAGACAGTAAGGGAGAGAGAGAGAATGTGTGAAGGGAGAGAGAGAGGGCGGGATGGAGAGGGAGGGAGAGGGAGAGAGAGAAAGACATCGATTTGTTGTTCCATCTAGTTGTGTATTCACTCGTTGATTCTTGCATGTGCCCTGACTGGAAATCGAACTGGCAACCTTGGCATATCAGAACGATACTCTAACCAACTGGCTACCAGGCCAGGGCCCAACTCACTTTAATTATATAAAATATTTACATATATTTAGATATTGTTTTATTTTCAAAGAATCAGTTTTATACTTGGCAATTCATTCTATAACTAATAAGTACTACTGTTCTAACAAAGAAAGCCAAATACCATCAACGGTCTTCATATCAGATTTACAAAGATTTAAAACTTATTTTTAACACCAGAATTAGCATTGGAACTTTTAAATATTTAATTAGGAAACAAATTATAAATATTAATAATACAAATAAAAATAATTGACAATGATTAGTGTAATGTTACGATTAGTGTAATGTTACAATAAGTGCTCAGATTTTTTTCTTACCATTTAAAATTAAAGAAAGTTTGGCTCATTGAGTTCTTTGATTCCAAGTAACCTCCTGTGCCCACGTAGAGTGCCTCTTATGGAGTCAGTTTTCTGAGTTTTACCAGGTTTCTAGCAATGGTGTTATGTCCCATAGGCTTTTTAAAAAATCTGTGAAATGAGAAGGGAAATGTGTGAAGGGATGTCATGCACATGTAAGTATACAGACACTCAGAAAGCACGCTGATGAACTAATCCTACATATTCACTTTTTTCCCCTCAAAATTATGACTCATTGATTTCTCTCTTTTTAATTTCCTTCTCTCCAGTCTTATTTTTTCAATGCTATGTTTGTGGATCACTAAAGGTTTGCAAACACCCCACAATTTAGTTCAAGCTTTTCCAAAGAAAACTCTAGTAGCATGTCCCAAAGAGTGTGCCAAGGAATAGTTTAATGGTCCAATAGGACTAGAAAATCCAATATATCCTATCCCCACTGTGAAGATGCCCAGTGCTCACTGGCTCATTAAAGAAGATCCTGCAACTGAGTTAGCTGATTATCTCATCTTCCATCTATCTTGTCCACCACCCCACTCCAAGCCTCTACTAGAAAGCAAACACTGGGAAAGTCTGGTAAAATACTTAACCATCTCAACCACTACAACATCAGATTCCTAAACAAAATCACTCCATTAAACAAGTCCTGCTCCTTACTGGTTCAAGGAGTTTGAAGAAATCTCTAATTATTAGGAGACCTCTAAGATAAATGAACAGAGACTTAAGTTGCCTCATACAACAAAAAATATAGAGTTTAGAAAACTAACTCAGGAAAGTCACTAGACAAATAGCAATAACAATAAACCTAGGTAGAGCAGGGTAAAGGTCTGATTTCCAGAGTTGACACATAATAAAATGTCTACTTTCAACAAAAGAAATTGCAAGGCACATAAAGAAACATGAAACTCTGGCCCATACACAGGAAAAAAGCAGTCAATAAAAACTGGCCCTGAGGAAGCCCAGGCATTGGACTGATAAAAGATTTTCAGTAGCTATTATAAATGTGTTCAAAGAAGTAAAAAAACTAAAAGAGAGTATAAGAATAATATTTAACCAAATTGAGAATTTCAATAAAAAAATAGAAATTATATATATATATATATAAAAGAACCAACAGAAATCTGGAATTGAAAGTACAATAACTGGCCCTGACTGTTGTAGCTCAGTTGGTTGAAAGGTCACTGGTTTGATCCCCAGTCAGGGCACATGCCAGGGCTGTGGGCTTGATCCCTCGTTGGGGTGCATGCAGGAGGCAACCAATCAATGTTTCTCTCTTACATCTTTGTTTCTCTCTCTCCCCCTCTCTCTAAAATCAATACAAACTTTTTTTTTTTAAAGGAAAGTATAATAACTAAATTGAAAAATGACCAGAGGGGCTCAAGAGTGCGTTTGAACTGAGAAGAAAGAACCAGTGGATTTGAGGACAAATTAAGTCAAAATATCCCGTTTGGCCCAGCCAGTGTGGCTCAGTGGCTGAGCGTCAACCCAGGCACCAAGAGGTCACTGGTTTGATTCCCAGTCAGGGTACATGCCCAGGTTGTGGGCCTGATCCCCAGTGGGGGGCATGCAGGAGGTAGCCAATTGATGTTCTCGCTCATTGATGTCTCTCTCTCTCTCTCTCTCTCTCCTTCTCCCTTCCTCTCTTTAAAATCAATAAAGACAAAATATTTTTTAAAAATATCCAGTCTGCAAGAAAAAAGAATTAAGAAAAATGAACAGAGCTTCAGAGACCTGTGAGATACCATTAAGCATGTCAATCAATGCCTAACAAGAGTGTCAGAAAGAAAAGGTAGGGGGAAAAAGGGTTGGCGATGTGAGGAAGGTGGAGAGGGCTGCAGACGACAGCATGGTGGGTAGAAAAAATAATGAAATAAGAGCTGAAAACTTCCCAAATTTGATTTTAAAAAATTAGTCTGTACATCCAAGAGGGCTCGATGAGCTCCAAGTATGCAAAATGGCATAATCACTTTGGCAGACAGTTTGGCGGTTTCTTACAAATCTAAACATATGCTAACCCTTCAACCCAGCAGTCACGCTCCTAGGTGTTTACCCAAATTGAAACCATATGTGCACACAAAAACCTGCACGTGAATGCTTATGGAAGCTTATTCATAATTGCCAAGAATTGGAAGCAATCAAGATGTCCTTCAATAGGTAAATGGAAAAACAAACTGTGGTACATTCATAACATGGAATATTATTCTGTGAGAAAATAAAATGAGCTACCAAGCCAAAATAGACATGGAGGAAACTTAAATGTATATTGCTAAGTGAACGAAGCCAATCTGAAAAGGCTACATACTGTACGATTCCAACTATATGATATTCTGGAAAAGCAAAACTGCAGAGATAATAAAAAGATCAATGCATGCCAGGGTTGAGGAAAGGAAGGAACTGGTGAGTAGGTAGAGAACAGGGCTATTTTACGGCAGTGAAGCTATTCCATATGATGCTGTAATGGGAGCTACATGTGATTTTGTATTTTTCAAAACCCACATGCTGTACAATACAAAGAGTGACCCTGCTTTTTAAATATTCACCCAAGGATGTTTTTATTGATTTCAGAGAGAGGAAGAAGGGGAGAGTGGGAAGAAGGAGGGAATAAGAAAGGAAGGGAGGGAGGGAGGGGGAGGGAGGGAAGGAGGGAGGGAGGGAGGGGGAGAGGGGGAGAGAGAGAGAGAAACATCAACCAGTTGCCTCTTGTATGCACCTTGACTGGGGATCGAACCCACAACTTATTGGTGTACAGGACCCCGTTTCAACCAACTGAGTCACTGGCCAGGGCAAGAGTGACCCCTCCTAACTGTAATTAATTAATGATAATGTATCAATATTGTTTCATCAAATGTGGGATGGGGTATGTGGGAATGCTGTTTCTGTGCAATTTTTCTATAAACTTAAAACTCTAAAAAATAAACTATTCAAATTGAAAAACACTAATCAACACATTCAAGAAGTCCACTGACTTCCAAGGATGATACACAGAAAGAAATCTACATCTAGATACTTCACAGTTAAACTACTGAAAGACAGACTAAGAATCTTGAAAATGGCAAAAGTGATTATACAAGGAGTCCAAAAATTTAAATCAGAAACAGTGGACACCAGAAAGTAGAGGATAACATAATCAGAAATATAAGTATCCAGAATACATAAAGAATTCTTATCATTCAACAATAAAAATACAAATAACTGAATTGTGCTACTAGTGGGTTTTGTTTTTTAACAAGACAAGTAGAAATAGAGAAGAACTACCATAAAGATTTTTTTTAAGAATGTGAGTCCAGGCGGCCCCAGGCCGACCCTCCCTCAGGGACCCAGCGGTGCCCCTGAGGACTCCCTACCGAGTCCAGTGCGATGCTTGACCATGAGCTGGGCACCATGGAGGCCTTCACCCACTTCACCAACCAGACCCAAGGCCCGAACCAGCTCTTCAGAGAAACTCAATACACATGCATGTTGTTAGATATTTGTTAGATTACAAAGCTGACAGAGAAGGTGGAAATGAAGCTTGAGACACTGGAGCCTAATGTGAATAGGGTCCGTAAATGGTTCAGACGAAGCAATGTGGTACACACTGCACAGGCCACTCAGAAGATCATTTATTCTACAGACCTGGTGCCCCGCTTATGCCTGACACCCGCCGTGTGGTTTACTTCATCAATAACACAGTACTCTGAGTGAGGGACATTAACAAAGAAATGGCAAATGTGAGCCACACACCATTACCACTCTCTCTTTCTGAGCCTGGTCAGGGATCTGTATGAACTGTCTCTGCAGATGGAACAGGTTGCATAGGACAGGGCAAAGAGGGAAATGCTGCCCCTCAGGATCCTCTGGGGTGCAGTGTGGCTGAGGAGGAAACAGAGTGTCTCCAGTCCTTTCTCCTGCTCTTATTCCAGTCCCCGAGGAAGCCTCTTCCCTTGTTCCTAGACACAGTGAAGGCCCTCTGTGATCAGCTGAATCCTCTGGACCAGTTAGAAATCTCTCAGTCCAGGCCTGGCATCATTGGACTTGGAGTCTTGGGTCCTCTAGAGCATCATCACTGTGGCATGGCCTCGAATGAAGCTGAAGACTTTGTACCTCTTAGTGAATGGCCATTTGCTGAAGACTTTGTACCTCTTAGTGAATGGCCATTTGCACTGTCCTTAAAGGCTTGTTCGTGAGAGCATTTAGTGGCTTGGTATGTGAGCAGAGGTCAGGCCAAGAATGGAGAAGGGGAGAGCATAAAGATTTATATATGCTTTTTGGAGGGCTGGGGTAACTTCTGAATTTCTGAGTATTTTTCCTTTATTTAACATTCATTGAGCCTCACATGCACATAGTAGGAGCTTAGTGTGTGCCAAATAAATAAAAATGGAAAGAAAAAAAAATTTTTTTTTCTTTATTGATTTTAGAGAGAGACGAAGGGAGGAGAGAGAGACAGAAATATCAATGGAAGAGAACATCGATTGGCCACCTCCTGCGTGCCCCCCGCTGGGGATTTGACTCACAGCCTGGGCATGTGCCCTGACTGGGAATCGAACCAGTAACCTCTTGGTGCATGGACCGGCACTCAACCATTGAGCCACACAGGCCAGGCAAGAAAGAAAACTTGAAAGGCCCAGACTAACAAGTGAACACTAATCTACAATAACTTTTGGGCTGTGGGCCTCACAGCCCTGGGCTCCAGGAGAGGCCCATTCCTCCATAAATGCCAGCGCCAGAATGTGGGGGAGCTGGGCTTGTAGCCTCTTAAATTGCTCGCCCTGACATCACTGCACTCCTGACCTTCCTGTGTCTGGAAGTAGAACAGAAACACATCAGGTACCTTCAAGGTATACTTTGTGTCTTTAGGTAGTGCAGTGACTAAGCAAAAAATCAGATGCAGACAGAAAAAACCTGAGGTTACAACAGGTTCCTGTAGGTGGCCTGTGACAGATGCGAAAGCTGAGGTTTAAAGAAAATGAGGCCAGCCCTTATTCATATAATCCTCAGTCCAGTGCTCCTTCCATGAGATGTCTCTGCTTTCCTGGTGGAGGGGGAGTGGGAGACTCTCCAGAATCCTGTGCAGGAAGCCTTTTTGAGGACCTGTGTTGGTCATTGGTTTCTATTTTCTACAAAAACTAAAACTATATTTAGACGTATCAGCTAGCTTGTTTTATTTAAAGCCATATGACAATTTGGCATTTCCACATTAATTTTCATCAAAATGTGTGCAATTAAGTTTCATGAGTTCTCTGAATATAGGACGGTTGCAGTGCTACAAGTCAGACTTCATGTGTGTAGGGTGGTTGGGGCAGTGCAAAGAGCAGTAGGGGCCAGTGACGGGGACATCGGAACATTGAGTAGAGGTCATTCATGCATGTTCCTACTTCCCATCATGGGTGTTGAATTCTTACTCATGATTATAGATCATCTAATTCGAGGGGAGAGAAATGAGGTGCTCTCCCTCCTGGGAGCATGTCCACATCTTTCCCATTCCCCTGAACCTGAACCCAAGGCCCCCTTTTCTCTGACTCTCCAGTGAGCTGACAGCAGCCCCATCTATGCTCATTTCTCTCCTATGACCTTTCTAGGAGCCAAAGCAGCCACCTAGGCTCTCTTGTTGCTTCTTCTATCCTAGGCCCTTCCTTGTTTCACTGTCCCCAGCTTTAATAAATATACTCTCCCCCCCCCAATTTTTTTTTTAAAAAGAATGTGAGTTCATAAGAAGTCACCCCAAAATTCATACAGAACATACAGAGTACTTAATCAAAAACTTGGATCTCACCTCAAAAAAGACATAGGTCTTTACCATTCTCATCCACATTCTAAACATCCATCATGGACTTCCAGTCAAGATGGCACAGGTAAACGTGGAATCACGTCCTCCCACAATCATGTCAAAGTTACAACTAAACTACAGAACAACCATCATTCAAAACGGCCTGAAATCAAGCTGAATAGAAATCCTACAACTATGAAAGAAGCAGCCACATGGAGACTGGTAGGAGGGGCTAAGGCACAGACGGGCTGGTCCCACACTGTGTGGCGGATAAAAATCAGGAGGATACCTTGGCTGGGAAGGCCCTCCTTGAGGACTGAGGGGTCCCCGTCACACACCAGGTGCCCCGCTCAGGGTTCCAGTGCCAGGAAGAGAAGTCCCCATAACTTCTGGCTGGAAAAACCAGCGGGAACTGAGGCTCAGGGAAGCTGAGGCAGCTGGAGCCCTAGGCAGCAACTCTTAAAGGGCCCGCACATGAACTTATCGGACTCACTCCCTCTAAACTTGGAGGGGAGGCAGCTCAAGGGGCACCAGAGACATACAGGGAAGAACTGAGCTGTTTGGCATTGGAGCGACGCTTGAGAGGAGGCTTTCTCAGGGACAGACATGAAGTCAGGGGCCTTTGTTTCTTTGGTGAGCCCTTCCCTGGGGCGGCAGACAGCCGCCATATCTGGGACTCCAGCAACCTGGCACACGCTGATAGCCCCACCCTGGTGATTCCCTGAGACCCCGCCCCACCCAACTTTCAGGCCCACCCAAGCTGTTGCCAGTTGCTTAACCATAGGATTGGCCTCTCTTGGATCCTGCTTCAGGTTTTCCTAAATTCTTTCAAATGAGCAGCATTTGGTCTCAGCTAGCCCCATACCTCTCATCAAGTAATACATAGAAACAAACACAGGGAGGCAGCCAAAATGAGGAGACAAAGAAACAGGTCCCAAATGAAAGAACAGAAGAAAACTCCAGGTAAAGAACTAAGCAAAATGGAGATAAGCAACCTAACAGATGCTGAATTCAAAATACTTATAAAGATGCTCAATGAACTTAGAGAGAACCTCAGTGAACTTGGTGAGGGCCTCAAGAGCATAAAAAAGGACCAGTCAGAAATGAAGAAGGCACTAACTGAAATAAAGAATGATTTACACAGATTCAATAGTAGAGTAGGTAAAGCCAAGAAGCAAACCATCGATTTGGAATATAAGGAAGCAAAAAATGCCCAATCAGAACAGCAAAAAGAAAAAAGAATCCAAAAAAATGAGGATAGTGTAAGGAGCCTCTGGGACAACTTCAAGCGTGCCAACATTCGCATCTTGGGGGTGCCAGAAGGAGAAGAGAGAGAACAAGAAATCGAAAACCTGTTTGAAACAATAATGGCAGAAAACTTCCCTAACTTGTTGAAGGAAACAGACATACAAGTCCAGGAAGCACAGAGAGTCCCAAACAAGATGAACCCCAAGAGGCCCACACCAAGACACATCATCATCAAAATGCAAAAGATTCAAGACAAAGAGAGAATCTTAAAAGCAGCAAGAGAAAGGCAGCTAGTTACCTACAAGGAAGTTCCCATTAGGCTGTCAGCTGATTTCTCAAAAGAAACTTTGCAGGCCAGAAGGGAGTGGCAAGAAATATTCAGAGTGATGAAAACCAAGAACCTACAACCAAGATTACTCTATCCTGCAAAGCTGTCATTTAGAATCAATGGACATATAAAAACTTTCCCAGACAAGAAAAAGTTAAAGGAGTTTATCACTACCAAACCGTTATTATATGACATGATGAAGGGTCTTTTTGAAGAAAAAGATAAAATGTATGAACAAACAAAATGGCAATGAATACATATCTATCAACAATGGAATCTACAAACAAAATGAACAGGTAGAACAGAAACATTCTCATAGATACAGAGAACATTTTGTTGGTTGCCAGTTGGGAGGGGGGTTGGGGGAATGGGTGAAAAAGGTGAAGGGACTAAGAAGCACAAATTCATTGCTAGACTGACAAACCTCAAAGGGAAAGGGGTTGGAGGGTGGGAAGAAATAAACCAAATAACTTATATGCATAACCAATGGACACAGACAATAGTGTGGGAAAAGGTGGGAGGGGGGCGGGAGGGGGGAGGAGGGGGTCAATGGGGGAAAAATGTGGAACATCTGTAATACATTTTACATCCAACAATAAAGATTTGGAAAAATAAAAATTAAAAAAAAAAAAAGAGTAAGAAAAATACACACACCAAATTTTCCTCACCCACAGTCTACTTCAGTTGGCGACTGTCCCAGCGAGGGAAGGACCCTCACGAGAACACAGATGCCTCTCCTGAAACAGAAGACTTGCTTATGAATCCTGCCATGAATATTTTTCAAGTAGAAAAACACACCCTAAGAAGAAATGGTGACAGAAAATATTTCCCACATACAAAGGAAAGAAGGAAAACCAGTATCTAAAGGTGGTGGTTCTTAATTCGTGTCTTTTTGAAATTAAAATCAAGCAGCACAACAACGCTAAATTCTATAGATTCTGAAAGTAAACGCTGCCTTTTTTTTTTATAATGCTAGTAATAAGAAAAACCAGGAAGGGGACAAGAAGAAAAGTATCAAATGGACCTGAGGTAACAATGTGGTCACTAGAAGTGTTTCAACATAAAACAGACAGCTCCGACCTGAGGATTAGGGTGCAGCTGAGTACTTACTAGAATGGGAGGACAGGCAAAATGACCTCAGAAGAGTGAGAGGAGGCAGCAAATCAAATATGAGAAGCAGATGGATGAGAGGCAACTGATGAAGCAGACCCCAGAATCTAGGCTGACTGTAAGGGAAAAAAGAACCAGCTCTGTGTATGCTACAGGATCTTTAAAAGGTTCAGGGAAATGATGGCACAGATACCAGTGGGGATGGAGGGTGTTTTTCACAAAAGAGTATTGACTGGCAGCTGTTTACAAAACAACTGGGTGTTGGCCACAAAACCTGACGGAGACCCAAAATTTAGTTTCTGCGGAGGTTCTCCAGGTTGGGGCACACCAGGCATAATGGCATAATGGAAAGCAGGGTTCCCAACCAGGAAACAGTGGAACTACGTGAACCCAAGGACTATGAATACTGAGATCTCATTCCCTATTTCCAGCTCTTAGCCCCTGTAACTTAAGCAGCCAAGCCAACACAGGAATTTATTTACTAGGGAATCCAACCAGGTCAACACTTAAATATGTTGCTTACATCAGGAATTCCCCCAAATGTTTAAAGGAAACAGACTGTGTAAAGAAAAAGGAAACTAATAATATTCTCAGAAAGATGAGAAAAGATAATGCATTCACTAAATAAGTGAGGCAGATTATATTGTCTGAAAACAGGAAAAACAATACTCCCATCCAGTTATGTTCTTCTACAGTATAACCTTGCCACTCCTCAATCAAGAAGCAGTCAAAATTCCCTTCCCCTTGAATTTGGACAACCTTATGATTACAGTGAGCAGTAGAGTTTGACAGAAGTAATATTGCGTGGCCACTATAGCTAGGACATGTAAAACCATGCAGCTTCCTCCTGGTTGTCTTAGAATATCTGCTCTCCAGAAGTGTCCTTTAAGAACCAGCTTCCGCCCTAGCTGGTTTTGCTCAGTGGTTAGAGCATCGGCCCGCAGACCAGTGAGTCACGGGCTCATTTCCAGTCAAGATCATGTACCTTGGTTGTGGTTCATCTCTGGCCCTAGTTGATGTCATGTGGGAGGCAACCAATCAATGTGTCCCTCTTATGTTGATGTTTCTCTCTCTCTTCCTCCCTCCCACTCTATCTGAAGATAAATAGAAAAATATTCTTGGGTGAGAATTAATAAAAAAAAAGAACCAGCTTGCATCTTGTAAGAAGCCACGTGAAGAGGCCATGCATACGTACTCAAGTCAACAGCCCCAGCTGAACCCAGTCTTTAATTCTTCCCAGCCAGGGGCCAGATCTGTGAGTGAAAAAAGCACCAGATGACCACAACCCCTTGTCACTCAAGTCTTATCTGAATTCCAAACCCACAGAATGTGTGAGCAAACAATTAAATTTAAGTTTTAATATCACTACATTTAGGGTCCTTTGCCTCATAGCAATGACTAGAGCAAACAGGAAGCCACATAAAACAGAACACTTAGCAAATGAAAAAGTGCTCTTAAAAATTATTAATTAGTATGATATAACATATTCAGAACTCGAAGAGAAGAATTTAACATATTTGTATGACTATACACATACACAGGTACACACCTCTAAGAACAAGCAATCAGGAATTTCCTGTTCAGTCTCTCATTACACCTGGGCTCCTTGACAAGAAGAAAGATAGGAAGGATCCGGCACAGGTTAGCTTGAACCTTTATTAAAGTTAAAGCAGACAGATATACTGTCAACTATAAAGAAAGGAGGAGAATTCAAAATAACAAACTCTTCTCAACAATTTCCATCAATGTTATTGTGGTTTAACTCCAACCGAAAGTATGAGATAAGAATAATTCTCTCCACCTATTGCCTACTTACCATTTTTTAGAAGCAGTAGAAATATTCTTTCTTTAAAAAAAATACATACAGGAAAAAAAAAAAAAAATGGTGGCGGAGTGAATGGAAGCTACACGGACCGTCTCCCAGGACCAAACTGGAATTATAACTTAAATAAAGGAAAGTCACCTGGAATAACCAACTGAAGACCAGCTGGAGAGAACCTTATAAGCAAGGACATAAAGAGGAGCTCAAATTGAGTCTGGTGGGAGGTGTGGAGGCGTGAGAGGGTTTGCTGTGTTCCCACAGGCTTCAGTTGAGGGTTATCTCAGCTGTGAGAAGTTCCCCCTGAGAAGTCTGAGGTTTAAACCCCAGCCCGGGCTCCCCAGCACAGAGTGGCAGAACAGGGAAAGGAACCCACATAAAACTTAGATGTGAAAAACACCAGTGCAGAGGTTCTGTCCAGCAGGGAGAGGCTCTGGTAACATGGGCACCCGCCTGAAGGGTCTGTGCACTAAATTTCAGCTACAGCCACTCACCTTGGGCTCCAGCAGAGGGAGGGCTGACTGGACTGGAGCTGCATGAGGAGAGTCAGGGATTCATGAAGCTGGGGAGAGAGTTGGGAAGGGGGCCATCAGGAGCCCGAAGTCGGGTCATTCCCCCATGCTACAGAAACCATTTTTCTCAGGCAGAATTTTCCCATCAACGCAGCTACAGACTGGAGGGAAGTAACTGCCCCACCAGTTGGAATGACACCCCCACTGCCAGGAAGAATTTGCACCTAGCACAGAACTGCAACCTGAGGCTCATTAACTGTCAGAGACTATCAACCAGCCTGCAGGCAGAGGTGGGTCTCTGGGAGCTTTGAGTCTGTGGCCTAGCTTGCGATCATTGGGATTGGTGGCTCTGGGGACCGAGCTGTGAAAGCAGCTGCCGGGGTCCCTGTGCTGCGTCATCAACCCATGCTGCAGGAACCACCTTTCTCAGGCAGATTTTTTGTCTCAAAGCAGCTTTATGATAAGCGAAATAAGCCAGTCAGAGAAAGACAAGTACCACATGATCTCACTTATTTGTAGAATATAATGAACCAAATAAGCTGATGAACAAAACAGATCCAGAGACATAGAAGTAGGGAACAGACTGACAAACCTCAAAGGCAGGTGGGGGGTTGTGAAGAGATAAACCAAAGAACTTATATGCATAACCAATAGACAACAGACAGCAGTGCAGTTTAGGCAGGGGTGGGGGGGGGGTAGTGGGGAGGAAGGGGTCAGTGCTAGGGTAAAGGAGGGATATCTGTAATACTTTCAAAACTAAAGATAAATAAAATCTAATAAATAAAAAAATAAAAATATACATATACACATAAGTATATGTACACATGTGTGAGTCTGCACAGGTATGCGTAAACAAAGAGATGGATGGATAAATCAGGGTCCACCATCTATTGTCCTTATGCAGAAGGAAGCAGGTCTAAGTTAGGTCAGTTGGGCCCACTGAATACCCTTCCAGGGCTCAATTTCACTGACTCTTGAAAGACTATTGTTCTATGGCCCAGAGGCTGCTGTGACTGGAGCAAAATACCCACTACTGTGATTGATGCCAAAGCCATGCCAATATCTCAGAGGATCCTGACTCAAATAAGTGTGCCTAAATGCCACCCAAAGCAGGCCAAGAGAAGGAGTAGGAAACAGCTAAGATTTCCCAGACAACCCCTTGCCATTCAAGGTGAAGTTCTTTCCACCATCTGTGCCTCCTTGTCTGGGGACACCTGTCATCTGTTCCCGCCCACAGGCTTGCCAGGCCAAAAGGGCAGTCTCTGCTGCCTGCTACTCTCTGTGACTCATTGTGGTGAACATCCTAGTACTTCTGAGGTCTCACACTGATACAAAACTCATCAAACCCCAGCCATTCCAGCCCCTCCAGACTGGCCAGGAAAAATCCTTGGGTTTTTCTCATAACTTAGCACCATGATTAAAAACATCAGGCTCCATAGTGTAGGTCATTGTCTTCCAATATTCATCCCGGTTTTCTTGGGCTCCAGCCAAGGAAACATTGGCAATAAGGGATATTCTATAACTAGCACTAGACCACATTTCCTGTGCCCCCTTCAAAAAGGGGGCTTTCTACATGAAGTTAGATATTACAGCTAAAGCCAGATGGTGCAATGAAGGGAGAGAAGGGCCAAAACCATATCTCCCTTCTTCTGACCCCCACAGCTCAGAGCCAGGCACAGAAAGTGGCACAGAGAGTCACTCAGTTATTTTTGTTGAATGAATAAAGTCTCTTTCCATGTTCCTCTGCTAAAAATTAAACATCGATCCTCTCTCCCTCTTGAATGTCAGAGAAGAGTTCTGTTTCTGGCAGCAAGGAGTAGCCCATTTAGAGAGTGTATCTCAAAGTAAGATCGGTTTAAAGGTGAAATGACAGGTGATCTTTTAAAGGACCCAAGCCCCTCAAACATGAAGAATATAATTGAAGAAATGGCATCAACATTTGAAAGCCAGAAGGGGTAAATGGTAACTGGTCTGGCAGTCTCAGAAAGCCTAATCCTAAAGCAGAGAAAGCTGAGAGACAACTCAATTTACAGCACAAAAGTACAAACCCAAATTATAGCTTCCACCCCCTCAACAACAATCACCTCCCTTCCTCCAAAGACTCTGAAATTGGCAGCACAATTAATTCCTCTGGGTGCAGTGGTAAAGTGGAGTTAAAAACTAATGACTGGTTGGAAAATCTATTTAAGAGGCAGTTAAAACTCTCGGGTCCCTCCCCCTAGTCATCATAACCAATTAAATACCCTTCCTGGCCCCAGCAGAAGACTGGAAAACGTAAAACAGAGGCTATCTGACCTGGAGGGCACGGGGCACAGCTGGGGCCAAGAGTACAAACCTGAAAACTGGGGAATTCAGTCAGATTTACTTGTTCCAGAATATTGGCAGGCAGGTGTATACCTTCCAGGCCTATGCCTCAGAAAATAGAGAACTGACAAATATCCAAGAATAGCTCGTGACCCAAAAAAGTTCCAAACAAAGAGGAAAGAAAAAGGCAAAAACAAAACTAGGGAGGGTATCAGTTAACTATTTCTGTACAAGCAACTACAATTCCTTAGTGACTTATTTCTCACTACTTTTATTTTCCATTATTTTGTTTAATATGATTTTATTGAGTTTTTAGAGATAGGAAAGGAGAGGAAGAGAGAGAGCAAAAAACATGGATGTGAAAGAGGAACATTGACCGGTTGCCTCAGGTACCCACCCTGAACCAGCAACCTTTTGGTACACTGGACGACGATCAACCAACTGAGCCACACTAGACAGGGCTATTTCTCCCTATTTTTAGAGCTGGGTGGGTTCATCTAGGCAGCTGCATTCAGATGGAGGACTGTCTGGATTGGAGGGCTCAATATGGCTTGTTCACAACTACACATGGTACTGGATGTCAGCTGGGATGTCCCTCATCTCTTCAGTAGACTAGACCAGCTCCTTTACAAGGCAGCCTCAGGGCATCATTCCAAGAAAATAAACACAGCAGCTCCAAAGCCTAGTAAGGCCTAAGCGCTAGAAAATGTATGCCAAGCCTGGCTGGTTTGGCTCAGCGGTAGAGCACTGGCCCGTGGACAAACAAGCCCTGGGTTCGATTCCAGACAGGGGCACCTACCTAGGTTATAGTTCGTCCCCTCCCCTGGTCGAGGTTATGCAGGAGGCAACCAGTCGATGTGTTCCTCTCACGTCGATGTTTCTCTCTCTCCTTTTCTCTCCCTCTCTCTCTACCTGAAGATAAATGGGAGAATATCTTTGGGTGAGGATAAAAAAAAGAAAGAAAGAAAATGCATGTTAATTCTGTCACGTTCTATTAGAGAAAGCAACCAGGTTAGCTACAATTCAAAAGGAAATAAGATTCTAGATGGGAAGAGAAGCAAAATCATATTGGAAAGGACCATGTATACTATATGGGAGGCATTTGTACCCATTCAATATTCTATTACATGGAGAAATTAAGATCAAGCAAAGAGTTGGAAGTTTCAACAACATCCTATTATTATCTGCAGAGACATAAGAGAAACGATTACAGCCATGAAAATAGAACAATAGGCTACAAAAAAGGAACAGAGAACAATAAGCTTTTAAAGATTGAAAATATGATGGCTGAAATGAAAAAACTCAATTGAAGAACTAGAAATTAAAGTTGATAAAAGCTCCAAGAAAGGAGAGCAAAAAGGCAAATAAGTGGAAAGCAGAAAAATTATAAAATTGATACAAAAGATCCAATATTCAAATTACAGGTATTCCACAGAGAAAGAAGCAAATGAAGAAGAGAAATTTACCAAAGAAAGAATTGATGGAAATAAAGAACACAGATTTTATCAGATTAAAAGAGTCCTATTGGTGTCCATCATAATAGATTTAAAACAGTCCTAACTGCCTGGCCAGTGTGGCTCAGTGGTTGAGTGTTGACCCATGCACCAAGAAGTTGCCAGTTCGATTCCCAGTCAGGGCACATGCCCAGGTTGTGGGCCCGATCCCCAGTGGGGGGCAAGCAGGAGGTGGCCAATCAATGTTCTCTCTCATTGATGTTTCTATCTCTCTCTCCTACTCCCTTCCTCTCTCTCTAAAAATCAATAAATTTAAATTTTTAAACTGGAAGCAATGCAAATATCTTTATATTAAGCACAACTTGATTCTTTTTTTTTTAATCCTCTCCTGAGGATATTTTTCCATTGACTTTCAGATAGAGAGGGAGGAAGGAGGAAGAGAGAAAGAGAGAAACATCAATGTGAGAGAGACGCATCAATTGGTTGCCTCCCACACAACCCCAACCAGGGCCAGGGATCAAACCACAACTGAGGTACGTACCCTTGACTGGAATCAAACCCGTGATTCTTTGGTCCTTGGGCTGACGCTCTAACCACTGAACAAAACTGGCCAGGGCTAACTTGATTCTTATGATGGGACTCCATTTTACTTGATGGCTGCATTGTATTAGACGTTTCTGCTGTTTTAGAGCATGTGTATTGGATGCAGGTGTCATTTTAATTCCGCATTAATAATTTTTTATACTGCTTACATAGTAAAAATGATAAAATTTTGAATATACTGGGTTAAATGTTAAAGTTAAGTTTATGTTTCTTAATGCCCTGTACCTAATTTAAGTGAGATGAAATTACGTATAAAACTAGGTTTCACCTGTGTGGTCATATGCAAAAGAAAAAAAAGGGGTGGTGGATGGTTCTCATCTAAATGAATGGTATGAAAAGGTCGAGATAGCTTCCTCTATTACAATTGGCCTGAATTTTTTCATTTACTCAATACACCACTTTGGGAAAAAATGTTAAATAATTAAACTTTCGTTTTCAATTCATTACTGGAAAGAGTACTCATTTTTCTCTGTTTCGGTGGTTTTTCTCCTCTGGAGGAACAACCAGAGAGAGGAGTCTCTGACAGCCTGGGAAAGAAAAATGAAACCCACATTTCTGCCTCCAGACTTGTCAGGAAAGCTGACATGCAAAACGTACCCCAGTTGCCCTGGCTGGGTAGTGCCATTGGTTAGAGCATCATCCCTATACACCAAGGTTGTAAGTTCAATCCCCGGTCAAGGCACATAAAA